TATTAGAGATTATATTTGTATTAAAATAGTTATCTTATTATTATATAGTAATTGTGGTTTAAACCTCATATATAAAGTATATCACAAACAAATGTTTCCGAGATGTATCTCGGAAGTAATTACCGTTTGTTGTTGATTTTGTCTTGCTTTATTTTCTGTCTTTTCTTCGGTATCGTCGTCTGTGAGAAATTCCCTCTTGGGATAAGGGATAGGACATCCGGCAAATATGCTGAAATTTTTATATGAAATAAATACAATTTAAGTGAGATTATTACTTTAAAAAATCTAAATTATACTGATATATAAAAATATAGAAATAAATGCCTACTCCTGTGTTGGCAATGGCTCCTCTTGGAAATAGGCATCCTGCATAGAATGCTCCGATGTGATACGCTTGTTTGGATCCATCATCAGTAGCTTTTGTAACTAAAACAGAATAATATAATAAAGATTTTTTGGTCCAGTATGTAAAATTAAATTTTTACATCTCTTCTTTTAATTCATACCAAATTAAATGCCTTGCTATCAGGTTTGATCTTATGCCGGTCCATATATTTAGTAAGAGAACAATTTGCATAACTGAAAATAAAAAAATCTATATTTAAAGATTTTGAATGGGATATTAATGTAGACTTACATTTTACATTGTAACAAACTCACTTGGATCTTTTAAAATCTTTAAGTAATGTAGGGTGTTCTGGCATTTTTTTAATATCCTCCCAATCTTTTTCTAAGGGAAATCCCATCACATTGAATATCCTAAGTATAAATTAGTTCATTTTATTCTCTGTAGTATGAAAACAAACACAAAATCGTACTGTATTCTTACCTATCTAGTTGATCATGGTGATATGGATTGCTAGTCTTGATGTCTTCTTGTCTACAATGAAATATAGGTTCGGATGTTAAAAGTTCTGCGAATATACAGCCAATAGCCCATATGTCTGAAACAAATAATTCAATATACAATTTGTATGAGCTAAAATAATATAATGGCATACAAAGCATCACAAACCTATAGCTTTTGTGTAATGTCTGGCACCTAAAAGTAATTCCGGAGCTCTATACCAAAATGTTACTACGACAGGATCTAAATCTGCCAAAGGTTTAAGAGGAGCGTTAAATAATCTAGCAAAGCCCATATCGGCAATTTTCACGCGCCCTCGCTCATTTCCTTCACCCATTACTAAAATATTTGCAGGTTTCTAAAACAAAGAAAATTAATGTCATTAAATATAATCAATAAATATAATAAAAACATACATCGCTAGCATCAATTACCAAATCTCTATGAAGAACCCAGTTAGAATGTAAATAATGGATACCATCTAAAATCTGATACAATAAAGACTTGATCATGCCCTTTGGTACCATTACTGGTTTCTTATTAGCTTTTGCTGCTCTGTGAAATTTAATTATATGCTGCAAATAAAATTAGCATACTGTTACATGATATTGGTATCATATATTGCTGGAAAATACTTTCATCTTACATTAAAAGTATAAACATACCCACAAATCATGCTCGGCAAAATCAAACAACAACCAAACTTTGCGGTCATTGTGTGAGAGAAAGACACGAATAAGAGTAATGACATTGACATGTTTTAGTTCCCTGAGTAACTATAATAGAAAAAATTATAAATCAAACTATTCCTTTTGTTAAATGCAGGCAAATATTGTTTATTATTTAAGAGCAATGAGAAAACTTACAGCAATTTCTCGACATGCAGACATTGAAAGTCCTGTACCCTCAATTTGCTTAAGGCCAAAGTCTTTTGTATCAGGCCGAGACTTTAATTCACTATCTGGAACACTATTTACGAATTTGTACATTAAATTTATAAAATGGAATGTTTTTAATTTTGCAATCATGATTTACAACAAGAATAAAAGCATTAACTAAATATTCATTTTGAACACATAATTGTCGAAAAAAATTAATTATTTAAAAAATTGTACATTAATACTAGCTAAGAGAATAAAATAAAATAAGTAATAAGTTTCATCATACATTTAATATTTACATTATATTAAATATTGATAATTAAATTAAATTCAATGATTATATTAAACATAATTTTTATATTAGAACAAATATAGGACCAATTAAACCCATCATTATATGTATAAAGAATTATATTAACTATTAAATGTAGAGATAAACAAGATGAACAATCAATAAATATGCTTTTCTGCTGTTCGAGAAACCTTAAATAAAAAGATGATTATAGAATAAAGGAAGCAGGTACTTATATGAGAAAAGAAACTCCAAAATAAATTTATCGAAATTTCGGAGCAGAGTGAATCAACGCGATTTATATTATATAATCTGAGAGAATTGACAATGTGATTAAACTATGAAATATAATAATTTAAATTCAATGATTATATTAATCTTTCTCTCTCTCTCTCTCTCTCTCTCTCTCTCTCTCTCTCTCTCTCTCTCTCACTTTCTCATAATCTTTAACTTATAGACAAATCAGACTAATTAAATCCAAAATTAAAAAACTTTATTGAATATTAAATGCAGAGAGCTAGACACGAAAAAAACTATTAATAAAATACTGTTTAAGAAACCTTATATATAAAAAAAAGAAAAAAAACGGTCGATAAAATAAAGACGACAGGTACTTTTATACAGAAAAAAAAAAACTCGACTACGAAATAGATTTATAGAAATTTTGAAGCAAATAAATTTGTATTACACAATCTAAGAGGATTGAATGATTAAATTACGTTGAATGTAATGTATTTACGAGAATGTATGTTCGACAGAGAAATAATATTAAACGAGTTTTGCATTGCTTTGGAGCTAGGAGGATGGAGGTTAAAGAGACTAACCCTTCTTTCCTACGGGCTTTGTATACATGTCCGTAAGTGCCTCTTCCGACCTTACATCCCTCGAACTCGAAGAGGTCTTCAACCTTCGTGCGATCTTTCTGCGTTTTCATCTTAAATTCATAATCCATCATGTTTAGCGTTATTAGTACGATTATCAACTATAAACAAACATTTTTAACATGCGTCTAACACACACAAGCTTCGGAACACACTACGCACGTCGCACGTCACGTCATGAATCGCAGTTCGCAGTCGGTGATGCCCACAGACTTCTATATATATACAGAAGGTAATGCCAAAATGGAAACTAGAATCAGTATAGGCCATAGATATAGTATATCTAGACCGAGTGTTGAGGAGTGGGAGCCGAGGTGCACGTAGAAAAGGACATACTCTGTTTCGTGCCCCTTGCGTTCTCTCTCGCTCGCACGTAGCATGACGAAAGAGAGCGCTATGCTATGTGCGAGCGAGAGAGAACGCAAGCGGCACAAAACAGAGTATGTCCTTTTCTACGTGCATCTTTACCCCCACTCCTTAAATAAAGGCAAACGCTCAGTCTAGATATACTATGTCTATGGTAGTGCTTATATATATATATATATATATATACACATATATACATATATATGTTTAAATATGTGCAGCTTAATTTCTTCATATATAACATATGTAAGACATTTCTACTTACCGTGGTAACAAAAAATTATAATATGCACTTATTTGAACTTTTAATATTAACACAACCACATTTGATTGACAGCTGTCAGGCTGTACGTGTGACGTTTGTATTCTACATGGCGGCTATTTTAATCGACCAATCAGAAAGTGGAACAAGTTGGCGCCTCTCTGATAAGGATTCTACCATAGACATAGAAATATAGGGTGAGCATATAATTGCGAGACGGGTGACGGTGCGAAGAGGTAAATTGTGCCTCATTGGTGGCCCATCTCAGGTTTCTCTTTGATACTTGTTATAAGTTCTCTTGTGATAAAAATAGATACACAATGTAAAAAAATACGAAGAAAAAGATATAGCAATTTTCGAATTTGTACAAAGCGCAAAAACGAAAAAATCAATAGAGATTATATAGAAAATAAAAGGAATGAAAGATGACGGATAAGGTGCGTTAATATATGGTTACTATTGAAATGTCGCTGATAAAAATTTCGCTGATAATCAATTTTCATTAATCGTTTATTATATGAAATGTTGAGCTTGTTATGATTTGAAAACAAAATTTCCGCGAAACGGGTAAAATTATCCCTTCGTAAAAACTACAAATTTTTTACTTGCTCCTGATCAGATAATATAATAGAGTCGCAATCAGTACATATTGAAATTATACTTATATTGATGAATGAAAATATTTATATTTTATATATATATAGTCTACGACATGGAAATCTCTGTGTAAATTATATTGATAAATACATGATATTGCTTAAACTCGATCTTAGTGAAAACATTGTTGATGAAATATTTATTAACAATTTTCATCTAATTATTTCGATTTTTATATATTCATATGATATATAATTACTAAAAAGTAAAAATACCCTATTTTGTTTTACAGGAAATAGCTCGTATTCCTTTTTCTCAGGAACAAACCAAACAAACACGTCTCAGTATCGAAGATCGTGTTAAAATTGTAGAACGACTTGATAATGGAGAAAAGGGCAGTGATCTAGCACGGGAATACAAGATATCCAGGTCGGCAATAACATTTATAAAGAAATCCAAGGAATATCTGATAAAACAAAGAAGTGCACTTATTATGTGCCAAGGACAAACATCCAAGAAAAGATGCACTGGTGTTGAAAATAGTCCTCTCGAGCAAGCTCTATATGAATGGTTTCTACAAAAGAAAAGTATAGGAGAACCTGTTACAGGAACAATGTTGCAAGAGAAGGCAATTGAGTTGAATAAAATGCTTAACGGTGCCAGTAATTTTAAAGGCACCAATGGTTTCATATCCAAATTTAAAAAAAGGCATAGTATTGGATCTTCAACAGTTCATGGGGAAAGAGCTTCTGCAAATAAAAATGCGAGTACTTTTTGTCGAGAATTTATAAAATACATTATGGACAATAAAATACCATTGGATAAAGTTTATAATGTCAAAGAAACTGTACTCTATTGGAAAACAATGCCAAATAAAACTCTTATCAGCAGTGAACATGAAGCGCCTGATAGAGAATCGGACAAAAACAAAGTCACATTGATGGTATGCACAAATGCAACAGGAAGTCACAAATTGCCTATGTTGATTGTTGGAGAAACATATAACTGTTTAGAGAACGTAAGATCATCGTCAATTATTTATATAAGACAGAGCAATGCATGCATAGATAAACAGTTGATGTTGACATGGTATCAAGAAATTTTCCTACCAGAAATTGAAGCAGTTCATAACTCCAATACCGAACAATGTTTTCTTCTACTCAATGATGTTTCCAATTATCCTTCGGTAGAAGAACTTAACTCAATCAGTGAACGATGTCAAGTAATTTGTCTACCATCTGATACGACTTCACTTATACCTATGGATCAAGGAGTTATTGAAAAACTGAAGAAGATATACAGAAAACATTTTTTAAGAGTAATACTTGCAGCAGAAACTGCAGAAGATGTCCAGAAATTGTTGAAATCTCTTGACATACTTAAATGCTGTCATTTAATAAGTGATGCTTGGGACGAAGTGACGGAAATTATCATAAGAGATAGCTGGAAGAATATCTTTCCTTTATGCCTAGAAGAACTACTTGATTCACGATTATTTTTGAATATGGTAAATAAAATTCCTGAATATGACAATATCACATTAGAAGATATTAATTTATGGTTAAACAGTGACAACAATAAACAAGAATGCCAAGTATTAAATCAAGAAGTGTTAGATCAAGAACTGGAGTTCCCAGAACATCATGAAAATGATGAAGTTGACCAAGAAATAAACCAAGAGAATGAAGAGGAGGAAGAAAACAAGGAATATTTAAATTACAATGACTCTACAAATGATGTTACATCAAAAAGTGCTCTCGATGCGATTATTACATTCTTATTCTGGTATCAAACTCAAAATCAATGTTCTCTTCAAGATCGTCAATATATACGAAAATTCTGGAAACGTGCAATGGACGAGATACTTCCAAAGGATAATTAATAAATAATATAATATATATAAAATCTTATACATTAAAATACCCACTTATTAAAGTTTGTTCTATCATAATAAATTACATTTTTATTTATTGTTGGAATAATAAAAATTATTTTATTACTGTATATTTGTGATATTTACAGAAGGCATGTATTCAGATATTTGATGTCTTTGAGATAGACATAACGCGAATTTCCAGCAAGAAATACATATAAAAGCAATGTCACACGATTGACTATCAGATACAGAATTTTTGAAGTTCCGAAAATTATGTTTTTTTGTTGGAAAGCTAGAATGAATTTATCTCTAGGGTGAGATGAATCATTCGTTCTCTCTCGCATGCAAGACGCTAGGGAATAACGCGTCATTCGCGCATTAACCAATCACCCTTTCGCTCTTACAGGAAAGCTGTAAATTGATTGGTTATTCGCGTCCCGTGTACAGAGCTTCGAATCTTCCGCGTTAAACAAAAAATTCGGTCTCGAAATTCGCGCGCGTAGCGTGTCTTTGTACAATGCGTCATTTGTGCCAAGATGGTAACATCGTGATTGCCGTTTTGCGAAAGAAGCGGGATCGAGCGGGATTTCTCTGCGAGTGTTTATTTCCAAGAATCATATACGCGCCGAGCGCACGTATCGACCGGCTGGTTCCACGTATCACCAATTTTCGTGACTCTCTACGGTGATTCCCACTTCGTAATCGGTCTTCGCCTATCTGCGATACCATGTCGGATGAGAAGAAGGTAACGCTTCGTAATCCCTAACCCTAACCGCGCCGACGATTATTTACAATCTCGCAGCGCGGGTAGCGCGTCTCCCGCGTGTTTCACACCAATCAATTGTTTCCTTTGTTCACGCAGGAGACGAAGGCGGAATCGGAGCATATAAACCTGAAGGTGCTTGGCCAGGATAATGCGGTAGTTCAATTTAAAATTAAGAAACACACACCTCTTCGCAAATTGATGAACGCATACTGCGACCGTGTAGTAAGTGTCCACTGATAATTTCGTGAACTTTAATTGTCAATATATAAATCTCAAGCGTTACGCAGAAAATTGTCAATGTATAGACATTGATATCTTTGATGACAATGCAGCAGAAACATTTATGTTTTGATATAAATACACTAAAATCTGTAACAAACTAATATTCTGTGATGTAATCTTTTTGTAATATGAGTTTTTAAATTTTTTAAATGCCAATTTTTTCTCGGTAATACTATTTTTTAAAGAAATATTGGATAAGCTATTATGCTTTTGGACAAAATATGATTGATATTATTATTATTCATGTTGTCTCATAGGGTTTGGCAATAGCAGCAGTAAGATTTAGATTTGATGGACAACCCATAAACGAATTAGATACACCTACAACACTGGAAATGGAAGAGGGAGATACAATAGAGGTATATCAACAACAAACAGGTGGTTCGTGTTGAGATACAATGCATCACGTTTACAAATGGACTAAATGAAATTTACTGTTCCAGCAGTGTTTATTTTTATCAGAAAATATGATATATTTTTGGTTTATGTTTATTCCGCTCTGCAAGATTGGGGACTTTATCTTATTCCATAATGTGCAAACTTATTCATATGTCTTAATTTAATGCTTTTGTTCTCATTTCTTAATATCTGGATTTAAGTGTTTGTTATTTAAAATAATTATTTGGTATATTTTTTATTTAAAGATGCACATTATGCAGTAAGTTGCACGTTATGCAGTTGTTTAAAGTCTTCAATTGTCACAGCCATTTACTGCAAGTTTCTATTAACATGATCGAATACAATCATCTGCAATTTATTGTTGAAAAATACGAGCTTATGTTATTGTGGAGAAAAAAGGAAATCACACATTATTTAAAGAATACAGTCATCGCCATATATTGTAAGATCTAAAAATTTGGGATTTCTTTTGCACGTGATTTTCATGTGACTTAACATTGTAAGAATTCAACTTCACTTAATAAATTTTCATTTTTTTTAGATATTCTCTTTTTATATTTATAAAAAGTGTACAGAAGAACAAATTTTATAGATTAGAATATGTACACTTTTATTTTGAGGCATGATTAAAAACTTTATTCGCAGAGTTCCGGTTTCCGTCTGCGCTTTATGCAGAAACCGGATTTTGTATTTGTAAGGAAACTATCGTTATTCATCATTTCTGCGTGGCCCACGTTACTTTGTATACGAGCGAGAATAAACAGTGTGTTATCTTTTCTAAAAGAAACCTTCCATCTTAATAAGTAGTTTTACAATGTTTTTGACTTACACATATTTAGCAAAAAGTAAATACAAAATAATTTATATTTTCTTTAAGAAAGATATGCAATATATATTTTTGTCAAGATTTAAGTATTATATTATTGTGTGTGCAGAAAAGAGTGTATCTTCTTGATATAATCTATTATATTTACCTATCTATTAAATATAAGTTTGACACACAAAAATGTAAAGTACATGTATTTTAAAAAAATGTTCTTGAAAATACATTTTAATTAAGGATTAAATTGCTAACTACATACAAAAATGGACGAATTCAATGAAGTTTAAAATTTACACATTTTCTACTATATAAAATATCAATTTTTGTAAAGCTATTCATTTCTATGTATAAATTTATAATCCCTTTAAAAAATATATTTATAAACTTAAAATTGAACAAAAATAATATAATATAAAAAATAAAAGTCTGCAGATTTTAAAATAGTAAATATATGTTTCCAATGCGATGCCAATTCTATTAAAGAAAGTTGATCAACTATTACCTAAATAGATCGATACAGAACTCGAAAATTATATTTCGATAAAAGATGAAACGAACTGAAATAAGTTGCTATAATTCAAACTTTGAAAGATGAATTTTTTAAGAGAGATTTTTTTTTATATAATTCTCTGTTAATTTTTATGAATGATGGATTTGTTTGTACTTTCTTCGGAAATTTGCAACATAAATGAATAAACAAACGACAGTGAGAGAGATTCATTTGAACACAATCGCTCATACTGATCGATGCCTAGAGTAATGAACATGATTGACCAATCAGAGAGCCCTGTGTTCAATTGGCCAATAAGCAATGTATCCAAATAACCGTCATCCATTCACGGGCTTCACATCTAAGGATAAAGTTTCGTAAACGATTTCCAGATGTCGCTTAAGTACAGTTTCCTTTTTCAGTTCGTTTCTACTATTTGTGTAATCAGTATATGCCAGATAAATTCACCGAAATTGTAGTTTGGTCATTAGTTTGTTTTCGTTTTGTTTCGCGATCGTATCCAGTCGCATTCTGGAGATTGATTGTGTATCTTAAAACGATGTAAAAATTACAAAAGTGAGTAAATTTACTAGAGTATCTACGATTTCATTGGTCGAAATCTAGTAAATCTGTTCACTTTTGTAATTTTCACTTCGTTTCAAAGATACACAATCGACTCCCTGGATATAGTCGGTTGCAATGTTATTTATGTAAACCCGTGCTCGGAGATAGTTGTCATTTTCGGGCCGATATGTGAAGCGACGCCTACGGTCCCCCCACTACCGCTCGAGGCTCGACGGCCGAGTCGCCGATTGCGCGCGTAAAAGCCGTGTCATACTACGCATTGCGGACTCGGATCGGATTTGGAGTACGGACTGCGAATTGTCATTCATCCAATCAGAACGAAGTAGCGAAGGATGTGATTGGATGATTGACGATTCGCAGTCCATAATCCAAATCCGACCTGCGTCCGCAATGCGTAGTGTGACACGGGCTTAACGCTATGCCTCAGGAGCGGGCCGATTCAGAAAAGTTAGCGCCCTCATCTAAACGTTCAAGTC